TTCTGCTTCCTTGGAGACTAGGACGCGGAACAATGGCTTCAAACTACAAGAGAGGAGATTCCATCTGAACATGAGGAAGAACTTCCTGGCTGTGAGAGCCATTCAGCAGTGGAACTCTCTGCCCCGGAGTGTGGTGGAGGCTCCTTCTTTGGAAGCTTTTAAACAGAGGCTGGATAGCCATCTGTCAGGGGTGATTTAAATGCAATATTCCTGCTTCTTGGAAGGGGGTTGGACTGGATGGCCCATGAGGTCTCTTTGATTGTATGATTCTATGATAGTGTCTTCTAACTGGGAGGTGGCGTCTAATTTTTTGTTACTTCTGCAAACTTGTTGCTGACACCTACTTCCTGACTATATGTAGTACCTACTGTTTTGGCTTCCAAATGATAGACTCTCAAAGAATCAAGTTCCCTACTAATTTATAACACCTCCTCCAACATCTCAAAGATACAAACTGGGACATGTATGACCAAGCAATATCAGATGACAGACATTATTAATGAAGAAGAAAACAAAGGCAAGGTTGCTGCAGTTTGCTTCAGCCTGAGTCGATTTGGAAGAGGAAAATTCCACCTCCTGCTCTCATCTCCCCACTTGCTGAATGAACAGAGTGCAAACTACTTTATGATAAGTCATCCAAGGACAAAAGCAAGAAATGGGAGGAGAAAGGAGAACCTGGGACATTTTAGAAACAGCTGAGAAAGTGGGACAAGAAGGGATTAATTTTGTTAGTATTGTCATCCCTCTGCATTTGCTGAAGTTAGGCATACAGGGCCCTCATGAAAGTGGGAAACCACAAATAAAGTGATTGCCTTTTTTAATCTGAGGGAACACCTCCTCAGGAATTTCTAGGTCTTCCACCAGGACTATATGGTATCCATAGGCTCTGAGTCCTTCTTTTCAAAAGGGTTCACTATTACTGCATTTTGGCATAACTATACACATACTATTGAGAAATCAGACCCCCAAATTATGAATTATTATCTGTGGATCCATTGAGATATACAGCCAGCATGCATTAGATTTTTTCTTTGCCTGCTAGTAACCTTTCATGAATTTTATTGGAATGTTGCCCCACAACATTTTGGACTTTAGGAGATAACCCTACAATTACCATAATCCCCTAACAATGCCTCCACATGTCTAACTATGGAGCCAAACCAGAGGTCACAGAAGTTACCCAATACCCTCTTTTGTCCTCCTCCTGGGAACCGATTCAGGCTGACTAACACCCATTGTTTCATCAGCATGGACTACGGTTCTCTACAGGCTGGGGAACCTACTATAACCACACCCCCACTATGACCCAACCACATCCCCTATAAACCGCCGCGGGTTCTAAGATCTGCCGGGAAGGCCCTCCTGTTGGTCCCACCATCTTTACAAGTGCATTTGGTGGGGACAAAGGAGAGGGCTTTCTTGGTGGTGCCCCCCTGACTTTGGAGCTCCCTCCCCAGGGAGATTAGACAGGCTCCTATACTGTCCTCCTTTAATCAAGCCTTTGAGAAAATTTAGCTCCTAGTTGTCCCATGTAATAGTTACACATCCTGCACTTTATCCCATGACCTCTCTCCATTACTGCAGCTGGCACTTATTCTATTCCAATGATTACAGCGTGGCCATTGTGCCAGTAATTTACCACCACAGTTAGAGGATCGCAGCTTGATTGAGTCTGAATTGATGTTTTTACATGTGCATGTGTTTTATTGTACTTTCTATTGTGGTCACTTTTTATGTTTGTTTTTAGGTACTTTGTGCTATCTGTGAGCCACCCAAGTCCCTTTGGGGAGATGGTGATGGAATATAATAAAATTATTGTTGTTGTTATTATTATTATTACTACTATCATTTGCATCCATTACCTCAAACCCACCCATATTCTTTCCTTCACACTCTCATGAGCAGCAGAACCAGCAGTGGCCTCAAAACTTCAAACTAAGCAATGAAAATGTATTAAATTTCCCTCAGAACATGGAGGCCAATAATCAACAACGACATACAGTGCATCCCAGTCAACCAGCCTGCAGATCCTAGCTTGCCACAATCTGGAACATTCAACACTCAGGGCAGCTGAAATCATTTGCTTAAGATTGCTGTCAAAGTGCTGTAAATATTTCTGAATGTTTGCATTGAGGTATGTCAGTTCTCTGTAGAATTATCTCTGCTGACATCCTCTCCGGCCATTGAGAATAATGCCTCAGATTTTGCCTTCAACCAGTTTGCATCTCATTCAGCCTTCTGGGAATCTAGACACCCCAAGTCCCCAAAGCCGTTGTTTAGGGGAGCAGAAATCACTCAACAAATTGTCTGGGGATGTATCCCCACAGATACAGGAGTCATATTATACTATAATCATATATGTAATATAATATGGTAATAGTAACAAACTTTCTGATTCTTGTTGTATAATATGACCCATGAATAAGTTGACCCAAGTTTTTTGGGTTGATTTTTGACTAACATTTCTGATGTATTCATGATTGCGAAGGGTAAATTCTTTTGGACGACAACTGTTATAATCCTATAAGAAGGCATGGTCACTGGCCACCCCATGCTGGCAGTGAGATTCTGGGATTCTGGGATTCTGATCCAAAAATATAATTTTTTCAGATTTTGCTACTGAGCCAAAAAAATCTAGAAAGCCAAATAAATAGCTTTGGTGATGCAAAGGCAACAGTTATTCCTACTTCTGCTTCTTACTTTTATCTAGCCAACCTTAAGAAATGGGGCTACAAAGTGGAATCCACGACATGCGAGTGTGGAGAAGAGCAAACCACAGACCACCTACTGCAATGCAACCTGAGCCCTGCCACATGCACAATGGAGGACCTTCTTATAGTAACACCAGAGGCACTCCAAGTGGTCAGCTACTTGTCAAAGGGCATTTAATCAACTACCAAGTTTGCAAACTTTGTGTTTTGTCTGTCTGTTTGTTTTTTTTAATGCAATACAACTGTTTGGTTCACTCCTGATACGATAAATAAATAAATAAATCTCACTTTTCAAGGTCAGGTCCCACCTGGCCTCTTAAGCAAACACTAAGACAGTGATTAATCACTGCTAAACTTTTGCCATGTTGGGTGCAATGTTTATGAGTGTTGGTTTCAGGATGCCTGGTTTCCAGCGCAGCTGAGCAAGCAGTCAACCCTTGTTGAAATTACCCAGCATCAGCTTTGATAAATATGAATCCACAGCACAATAGCTAGACACCACATGGAAAGGAATACATTTTTGCCATTAAAATGAATAAATAATACAAATGGCCACGAAGTCAGTCTGAGTGACAGGTTTATGAACTGTACTTTGAGCTACCAAAACTGAAAATGGAATGGATTTTCTAAATGTAAATAAAAGCATTTCAAAATAAACACAGCAGGGGAAATAGATGGCAAGGGGAACACAGATAGAAAAATGTTCTGTTCCCAGCTATACAAAATCTCTGGCTAATATTAAGCAGTGCTGGAAACAACTGCAGAAGGAAGACAGCTGAAGGGAGCGTGTGATCAGAACAGTACTGTAGATAGTTTAAGGAAAACCCTGGCCCTTCCTAAGGGCCCTTCAGATCCTTCCACACAGTCCTACATCCCAGATTATCAAGGCAGAAAATCCCACAATATCTGCTTTGAACTGGGTTATCTGAGTCCCCACTGCCATATATTCCTCTGTACTTAACCACCAAACTCCAGTCCAAGTTAAATCAGCAAAGCAGTTTATTAAAGATATATAAAAAGCACTGTAGCAAAAATAGTAAAAATTTCAAAGTCTATACATATAAAATAGTCCACAAGGTTCAAGTTACAAGAATAATCCAAAATCCCAAAGCAACAGGACATCCAGCACAGGAATACAAGAAAACCAGGAAGTACAAGGCAGCACGGAATCTAATACAAAAATCTGGGAACAATCCTTCAAACTTGGAAGCATGAAACAGGAGCAAAGACATGGAACTAGAATTCCCCCTGAAAGCTTGACCTGGGCCTGTCTGGATGGGCCCTTGTACTTGCTTGCAATAATAAATTACCATCCTAGACCAGTGACCCAAAGGCAGGATTTTGGGGCAGAGGTCTGTCCTTCAAATTCATTAGAATGAGTGGCACAGCTTTTGAACACAGCAAGGCCAGCCAACTGCATTTGAGGGGAAAGAATACATGCTATCATATATAATGGTCCCAAGACATCCATAAAGCTTGGGAAATTGCCCAACCATGTCACTGTTACTTCATGAGAAACAGGATGGTACATTGATTTGCCTGATAGACTAAGGGTGCATCTATTCTACACTATAGAATTAATGCAGTTTGATGTCACTTTAACTACAATGGCTTAATGTTATGGAATCCTGGACACTAGCACTCTTTGACAGAGAAGGTTAAAGAGCTTGTAAACCGAAACTATAGCACCAAATCAGTTAAAGTGATGTCAAACTGCGTTAATTCTTCAGTGTAGAACAGTGATTCTCAATCTGTGGGTGCCCAGATGTTTTGGTCTTCAACTCCCAGAAATTCTAACAGCTGGTAAACTGACTGGGATTTCTGGGAGCTGTAGGCCAAACACCTGGGGTAGAGAACCACTGGTGTAGATGCAACCTAGGATGCTGGAAGACAGGGTTCAAAACTCTGTTCAGTCATGGAAATCCACCGGAAGAACTTGGTTGAATCATTCCCTCTTTCAGCTTTAGAGAGATAACAAACACTCTCTCTGAGCAAATCTCAGCAGGGAAACTCAATGGGTCCTTGGGACTCTCATTGTTAGAAACAACTTGAAGGCACACAAGAACAACAGCAGGAACAACAACAATCATTGTCACACAGGATGGAAGAAAAGCAACCATGTCCACTGTATTAAAGGCAACTGTTTTATTTCCTACAATATAAAGGAACATGAAGTCGATCCACAGCTCAAAAACGAAAGTGGAAAACTTTGTCAACAGGCCTAATACTGTTTTATTATTAAGCATTTCATTTGTTGCTATACTTTGTCACGACTGTGCTTTGACTTACCATGGATTCGCTGATCAAGAGGAGGAGGAGAGCCTCTTCAACGTTGTCGTGGGGAGTGTAGATGCTGCAAGACAGAAACACTTTTTAGGGCAAAAACCACACACTTATAAAAAACCAACATCAAGAATTAGGCTCATTTTGCACTCTTGTTAACATTACCACAGGTCTAGTAACTTGAAACACCTCATGCATGATTCATTTGTTATATAATAGTTTCTCCAGACTGGGATGCCTAAAAGCAACGGAGGGTGCAGTGAGGGCAGACAATTGGACAGACACAAGTCTATTCAGGCAACAGTTTTCTATCCCACGGACTTTGATTGTATTATGCTTATTCTGCAACAGCTACATCAATTATTTATCTACTTCCTGATCCCATTAAAGGGTGGATCTACACTGTAGTAATAGTTTAGTGAGGCTCCACCACTATTTGGCAAAGGAGGCTAAACATCTTGTAAAACCACAACTCCCATGAATCCATGGCATTGAGCCAATGCAGATAAAGTGGGGTCAAACTGCATTAATTCTATAAGTAGATTAACTCTATGTTACTAGTTGTAGACTAACAGGATGGTTTACATTTTCTTTTAGGATGCTAATGTTTAGGAGCAACAGAGCTGAATATGGATATATATTCAGACTCAATAGCCCTAGCCTTGCCATCAGATCTGTGGATTTTCTCTCTGGTCGTTCAGACAGAACTATTTAACTAGTGAGCATCAGGGACAGAGATTTTTTGTTTTATTTTTGGTGGTGATGGTGGTTCCTAGAACTCTCTTTACAGGGAGTTTCTCTATCAATCTTGCTATATAGGTTGAGTAAAGCTGATGGCATTGTTCCATCTGTAGACAGTCCACATTTTGCAGGTATATAGCATGGTTGGGAGGCTTTATAAACAAGCACCTTGGTATCCTGATCCTCAAACACTCTCTGCTTTGCTCAAAAAATGCTGCACTTGCAGAGCTCATGCGGTGTTGTATTTCAGTGTCAATGTTGACTTTTGTGGAGACGTTTCTGCCAAGGTAGCAGAAATTGTCAACATTTTCTAATATTACACCATTAAGCTGTGTTTCTGGCATTGCAGAGGGATTGGCTGGTGCCTGTTGGAAGAGCACTTTGGTTTTCTCAATCCTGCGAATTTCTTGGGAAGACAGGCAGACAAATGTCAGCATGCTGGAAGACACAAAGACCACCAGCACGGAAGCAATACTTCTATGCCATGAACTCTGGTGGACTGGTCACTGTCTTCCAAAGCAGTTAGTATACTCCCAACTCAAGAACGGAAAACAGAATGTTGGTGGACAGGAAAAGAAATTTAAAGATGGGCTTAAAGCCAACCTTAAAAACTGTGGCATAGACACCGAGAAATGGGAAGCCCTGGCCCTTGAGCACTCTAACTGAAGTTCAGCTGTGACCAGCAGTGCTACGGAATTTGAATGGATGCGAAAAGGAGAAATGTGCCAAGAGGAAGGCTCATCAAGCCAACCCTGACCTGGACCACCTTCCACCTGGAAACCAATGCCCTCACTGTGGAAGAATATGTGGTTCAAGAATAGGGCTCCACAGTCACCTACGTATCCACCGCCAAGACACTATACTTGGAAGGCCATCATACTCGGACAACAAGAGATCACCTAAGTAAGTACAGGTTGAGTATATCCCTTACCCAAAATACTCCAAAGTTGTCCACATGGGTGACTAAGATATTGACAGCTTTGCTTTCTGACAGTTCAATGTGCACAAACTTTGTTTTATGTACAAAATTATTAAAAATATATTGTATGAAATTACCTTTAGCTTATGTGTATAACATATATAGGAAACAAATACTTTAATTTTTTTTAAAACCTTTTTCTTTTTTTTTACCTTGAATCAGTACAAGTTGAGTATCCCTAATCTGAAATGCTTGGGACCAGAAGTGTTTTGAATTTTAAATTTTTTCCCCAGATGTTGAAATACCTGTATTTATATATACATATGTAATAAGATATCTTGGCGATCGGACCCTTGTCTAAACACAAAATTAATTGTACCTGAATTGTATCCAATATTATTATCAGGGTCTTATTCTTAAGTCCTGCCATGCTCCTTTGGGATCTAAAACCATTGTTATGCATGACCACATATGGCAGCTATGGATATCCATACTGCATCTACATTACATTGTAACACAGTAATGAATAAATAGTGCAGGTATATGCTTGTATTATACTATATTGTGATCATATACCAGCTATTACACAGTTTAATGTTTCATATATGTAAAAAGGGTGGTAGTTTCTGGTGCTGCTTTGAAGAAAACAACTGCTTGGCAGCAGACTGGAACAGCCAAATGCCATTAGTTCAGAACATGGGCCTTGTTAAGGGAGCAAAGTAATTCAAGGTTTATCTCATGTGGAAGCCAAGATAAAGAGGGACCAATGGTTTAATTGCCTGAGTAGTGAGGCAAAAGACTGCAAAAGTATAACACATACTGTATCTTGACTAATGGGAAATAGCATTCAAAGTATTTGAATTACATTATCTATACATATATGATGCCTGTGATGCTTGGCAGTTCTGACAATAACCAGGACAGTACTTTTCCTTTGTTTTCTTAAATAAATCTTTACCAACTCAAGGTGAGCTCCTTTCCTGAATGTAGAAAGCCTACATCTGGCAATTATTAGTAATTTCATGCATGAAACAAAGTGCATACAAAACAAAGGGCTGGGCTAGCACAATGGTTTAAACTGCCTGCTATACAAGATCCTGCTGACTGGAAGGTTGGCAGTTCAACCCCAGGGTGGGGTGAGCTCCCACTCTCAGTCCAGCTTCTGCTCACCAGCAGTTTGAAAACAACAATGCAAGTAGATAAATAAGTATTTTACCTTGTTCACGTCAGCATATTTTCAATTTTAATCTATTACATTTGGCCTGGCCATTTTTAAAATTGTTTATGTCACTATTGATTGTTTTTTGTTTATGTGATTTATATGATTTGTATTTTATTGATTGTTTATTGATGTTGTGTTTATTAATGTTTTGTTTGATGTACTTTGGGCTTGGCCTTATGTAAGCCGCACCGAGTCCCTTGGGGAGATGGTAGCAGGGTACAAATAAAGTTTATTATTTATTATTATTATTGGCGGGGAGGTAAAAGGCGCCGTGAAAAACATGCAGGCAAAACTCCGACCAGGAAAGGAGTCCATGGATGACAGGCTCCTCGGGGTGGAAAATGAAACAACAGCATTTTATATGGTTTTAATCTGTTTAATTGATTGATATTTGTTTTAATTGCTTATATGTTAGATTGTTTATATTTTGATGTGATGTGTTTATTGTTTACCTGTGTAGCATTGAATTTTGACGGATTTGTAATCTGCCTTGAGTCCCCTCTGGGGTAGAGAAAGGTGGAATAGAAATGAAATAAATAATAAATAAACAGCACCTCCCCATGACCGACTCGAGCATGCCTGGATGCCAGAGATAAAAAGAAGGAAGCCTTGCCTCTGTTTACATACTATCTGCCTCTGTCAATTATATAACAACATTGAATGTTTTCCATGTATGTACCTGTAATCCACTCTGAGTCCCCTGAGCGAAATATAAATAAAGCATATTGTTAAAGTATATTATTCTATTGAACCACCAGAAAACAAAGATGTCACTATCTCAGTCACTCATATAGAAAATTTTGCATAATTTAGGATTCAGATGAGGGATCTGAAATGTCACCTTCCTCTATTAGCCTCATTAGTCCCTAACGCTAATTGTTTAACCTTTCTTCCTCTAATTTCACCAGTAATACACAGGTTTTCTTGACCCTGGATTCTGTATCAGTTCCCTTTTCTCAGCCAAACCGATCTTGCACCTGCTCTCCATCACTTATATTAAGCTATCAGGGTCTCTCTTCTTTTTTAAAAATAATTAATATATTCTGTAGAATATTCTGAAGAATGGACATCACATCAACTCAGCCAATGCCTTGCCAAGGTGGATTTGAAGGAAGTGTACACAATCAGTATCAGCCCCAAAGCTGTGTGATGCCTAGATTGCTTGCTTTTATCTTTTTCTTTCTTCTTTTTTCTTTTCATCCCAGATGTATCATCCCCGAAGAACATTACGTACTTATCTCCCGCGTGTAGCTGCAGTTTCCGACGCAAAGTAGTGCAGATGTAAGAATTATCCTCTTTGTTCATAAACTCAGGAAGAGGATCAGATAACGGGCTCCAGTAACAATCTTCACTCAAGGAGTGGAGAAGCAGCTCTGCCAACTGCTTGGCAGCAGTCTGGAGAAGAATGGGAAGAAAATGGACAAAATACATTTTTTTAAAATCTCAGCAAAACATGTATTCATATTCAGGATTAATTATCTCATCTTGTGCTATGAGCCAGAACATGATACACTACATTGATTTATGGTTTTTTTTTTAAATTCTAACTCTTGCAAAGCTGGGAACTTCTGCAAGTCACGTACATTTAAAAACTGCTGTATGATTAAATCAGAGGCAATCTTCTAATCAGCTAAAGTTTTTCCAATCAATTAATCTAACCAATTAAATGAGTAAGACATTACAACTACTATACATGCCATATATGCTTGTACATAAGTCAACCACATGTAAAAATTGAGGGCTGGTTTTGGGGCCAAAATTATGGATTTCTCTGCAGAAAATGTTGTTTCCTGGGCAGAAAATGCAAAATTCTATGCAACAATTCTATGCAAAATTCATATGGGTTTATCTGCATAGAAAGTGGAATTTTCTGTACAAGAACCATCTTTTTTCTGAAAAGAATGTATTTTCTGCAGAGAAAGATGCTGTTTTTTTGCACAAATAAATAATAAACAAATAAATATTTATTTCACAAAAAATCAACAGTGCAACAACATATAATGAATACAGTGGAATTAAATTACATCAACAAAAGAAAGTCTTGGTATGTGCATGAGAAGAAAACATCTGTAAATCTATCTGGACAGAAAAAAGCAAAACTGACCACATATTAGACTGGAGCAAGACTGTCATCGTGCAGCCCCTGAGACCAATCTTATTCCCTCCTTCTTTAAAACCTTCCACCAAGAACATTTGATGGTCCTCTCACCTCTTAAATTGGTGACAAATTTACACATTTTTTAAATTAAGAGGAACTGGCAAAAGTTTTAGAACAAGCATGTATGCTGTGATATATATTGTTCTATATAGCAGAAGGCATATATGTGAAAGTTATTACTGTTAGAATTTTTAAGGTAAATTTTTAAAGGTAAAGGTTTTGCCCTGACATTAAGTCCAGTCGTGTCCGGCTCTGGGGTTAATGCTCATTTCTAAGCTGACGAGCAGGCGTTGTCCGTAGACACCTCGAAGGTCATGTGGCTGGCATGACTACATGGAGCAGTACCTATTGATCTACTCACATTTGCATGTTTTCAAACTGCTAGGTTGGCAGAAGCTGGGGCTAACAGGATAGGAAGCTTTCCTGCAGATCAACTAGCATGGCTTAGAAGTTTGAGCACTGGACTAAGATTCTGGTGACCATAGTTTGAAATTCCAGTCAATCATAAAAATCCACTGGATGACCTTGGGCAAGTCTCACAGTCTCAGAAAACCATGTAATAGGGTTGCCATATCAGAATTGGGTTGAAGACACACAACAACTACAAGTTTTTCTGTCAGTTTACTATCCTAACATTTTGTAAACATGCTAGGGAGAGTTGGGAAGAAATGCAAACTCCAGATAGTTCAGCATGCTTGCACATCAAGATGCAGTCATACTGGGAATTATGAAAAATATACAATATACTCCTTGTAGCATGCAGTGCATTTAGGTGCTCCTGCAGCCAAGTTTGGCAGCAGCCTGAGAAATCAGGAACCATAGGAACGTAAGGTCCATGAACTCTGGAATATGTGCTCACAACAGCCTCCAAGCTTCTACACACCATGGACACTCTATTTCCCATACAGCCTGGTATTTGTGGATGATGTTTCATATGTTCCCAGAACATATGAAACATCATATACATATACCTACATGGGAAAGTCATTGATGGTTGGGGCTAAGAGACATCTCTCCATTTGGTCCATGAGCTACTAGCATAAGACCCCATGGCAAGTCTCTAAGATCTCCCATTTCTATTCCCAATCTACTTTGACAAGCCTTACAGACATGGGAACCACTGACCACACAGGGAAGCTGATGAGGAAACACAACATACAAACTATCTACAGACCCGCCAAGAAAATCCAACAAATGCTATGTTCAGCAAAGGACAGGAGCGATCCTCTCACTTCTGAAAGAGTCTAGCGTGTACCATGCAGCTGTGGACAAATCTACATAGGGACCACCAAACGCAGCGCCCAGACACGAATCAAGGAACATGAAAGGCACTGCAGACTACTTCAACCAGAGAAATCAGCCATAGCAGAGCACCTGATGAACCAACCTGGACACAGCATTTTATTTGAGAAGACAGAAATGCTGGACCACTCTCACAACCACCATGTCAGGCTACACAGAGAAGCCATTGAAATACACAAGCATGTGGACAATTTCAACAGAAAGGAGGAAACCATGAAAATGAACAAAATCTGGCTACCAGTATTTAAAATACTCTAAAATTGCAACAACACAACAACAGAGAGGAAGCAGGCAGGGACATCTAATTACCTCTCAACCAAAGTTTGCTCCAGGCATGAATAGAAAGGGATAAGGTCTAAGCAAAACAAATCAAGGGAGACAGATTTGAAATGTCTAATTCAAATCTCATGACTTCCACTTTTAAAAAAATCTTTCATCTATTTTTATAATCTATTTTTATATAGAGTTCCATACAGCTGAAGGTATTTAGTTCAATTTAGGACTAGATCTACAGAAGCTATGACTATTCATATGTTGCTGGACCCCTATTTCCATGACTAGGTCAAGATGCAAGCTAGGATGCATCTACACTGTTGAAGTAGAGCAGTTTGGTAGCACTTTAATTGCCATGATTTAATGCTGTAGAATCATGGAAGTTGTAGTTTGATGAGACATCAGCACTTTTTGGCAGAGAAGACTAAAAACCTTGTAAAACTACAACTCCCATGATTCTATTGCATTGAGACATGGCAGTTAAACTGCATCAATTCAAGAATGTAGATGCATTTTAGTCCAACATCTTGCCATACAGGAAAATTCAACAAAACCACTCCTGAGAGATAGCCATCCAACATTTATATAAAAAGCCCTAAATAAGGAGGCAGTCTATGTATTTATATTTTGACCCAATTTTGCAGCTGTTCTCGTGTAGAAAAAAACCTGTATGGAAAAAAAAGATGTACATAGAGGTTTCTCATTCTAAATGCTGTTGTATTTATTTGAATTCAGTTCTGCCTGATCTTGTTAACCAGGTAGCTAGATGCAAAATTGTATGGCCATGCTCCACTTCTAAGCAAGCAGGTGAAAACATAGAGAAGAATATGCAGACACCTTCAAATTATAACTGCCAAAAGGAGGGCTACTACTACATCTCCCAAAGAACTGTCCTCTTACCATTCGGAAGCTCTGAGTAGCCTTCGTTTCCATAGTCCGCAATAATTCTCGGAGATTTCGTATTCCTTTAACTATGTTGCTAAGAGAATGAGAAAGGAAAAAATATTTGAAGGAAGACTGATTTAATTTGACTGTAGGGTTTGAAGAGAGGGCTAGAAAGGCGGGGGGGGGGGGGGAGAGAGAGAGAACAGCTTTGACATTTAAAAAATATCAAATTATCCTCAGGTTGGTCCAATGGAAATAACAGCAAGCAAAGAGACCTTTGAACATGAGCTGCTTAGGCATCTGATCCCAGATGGTGGCCTATGAGAAGATCTTAGATGGGTACAGGGGACATCTGGAAAGAATATTTTTAAGCATCATATTTTTTTCAGGCTTTCTAAAATGATTGGCTTTTCCTCTTTTTGCTGAGGATATAAGAGCCAGCCTGGCAAGAGTAGCAATTTTTGGGTCCGACTTCACAGTAGAACTAATGCAGTTTACCACCACTTCAGTTGCCATGGTTCAATGCTATGGAAATATGGGATTTGCAGTTTGGTGAGGCACAAGCATTCATTGGCAAAGAAGGATAATGACTTTATAAACCAGCATTTCTCAACCTGGGGGCCAGGACCCTTGGGGGAGGGGTTGCATGGGGGTTTCAAAGGGGTCACCAAAGACCATCAGAAAACATATATTTCTGATAGTCTTAGGAACCCCTTTGGCAGAGAAGGCTGAAGATCTCTCCATCTGTCCTTCTCTTCCTTTTTGGAAACAGACGGCAAATCCTCCCACCAAACGCCCTCCTCCATGTGATTGGTCGGCCAAAGGGAGGGCTGTTTCTGAGACTCCAAGCAAGGAGGGGAGAGCAGATGTGTTTGGCGCATGGCAGCGTGTGCACATGTGGGAGGGAGAGCGACAGTGCAATAGGAGTTCTGTGTGCCAAGTTTGATTCAATTCCTTCGTTGATGGAGTTCAGAATGCTCTTTGATTGTAAGTGAACTATAAATCCCAGCAACTACAACTCCAAATGACAAAATTAAACCCCACCAGTATTCAAATTTGGGCGTATTGGATATCTGTGCCAAATTTAGTCCACTGAATGAAAATACATCCTGCATATCAGATATTTACATGACGATTCACAACATCCTGCATATCAGATATTACATTACTTCATAACAGTAGCAAAATTACAGTTATGAAGTAGCAACAAAAATAATTTTATGGTTGGGGGTCACCACAACATGAGGAACTGTATTTAGGAGTCAAGGCATTAGGAAGGTTGAGAAACACTGTTGTAAACCTGTATCTTCAATGATTCCATAGCACTGAGCCATGGCAATTAAAGTGTTCCCAACCAGAATTAATTCTACAATGTTGGTGTACCCCTAGTATCCATAACATAAGTAACAGTCCTTTTCACAGCAAATAATAGCAAGGATATATGGGCTGATATTGTTAACAGATAGAAAACTTCACTCCATGTGGGCTGTTGCTTATGTTAAAAATGTAAACAAAAAATCTGGAGATTTTTACAAACACTTAGAGAGGATCTACCTTGTAGTGAGAACTGTCTCCCATAGCTAGTGAAAGACTCTCTATTGTTTGTTGTTGTTCATTCGTTCAGTCGTCTCCGATTCTTCGTGACCTCATGGACCAGCCCACGCCAGAGCTCCCTGTCGGCCGTTACCACCCAAAGCTCCCTCAAGGTCAGTCCAGTCACTTCAAGGATGCCATCCATCCATCTTGCCCTTGGTCGGCCCCTCTTCCTTTTGCCTTCCACTTTCCCCAGCATAATTGTCTTCTCTAGCTTTGCTGTCTCATGATGTGGCCAAAGTACTTCATCTTGGCCTCTACTATTCTTCCCTCCAGTGAGCAGTCGGGCTTTATTTCCTGGAGGATGGACTGGTTGGATCTTCTCGCAGTCCAAGGCACTCTCAGAACTTTCCTCCAACACCACAGCTGAAAAGCATCGATCTTCCTTCGCTCAGCCTTCCCTAAGGTCCAGCTCTCACATCCGTAGGTGACTACAGGGAATACCATGGCTTTGACTAGGCGGATCTTTGTTGCCAGTCTGATGTCTCTACTCTTCACTATTTTATCGAGACTGGACATTGCTCTCCTCCCAAGAAGTAAGCGTCTTCTGATTTCCTGGCTACAGTCTGCATCTGCAGTAATCTCTATTGTTAGAATTACTGAATCAGAGACTAATAGATTACTACCAAGGATCCCACTGAGTAATCTTCACACTGGGCTACAGCACCATAGAAGATATCTTTCTTCATGTCCCTTTTCCATCACACCAGAAAAAATGGTGGCTTACTTCTCTGCAACCGATCTTTGGGGTACATGGGGGTAGATGAAGGGTGCAGACAGAAGCAGTTTTATCAGTGGGTGTTCCACAATGGACATAAGTCAATATTTATAAATCCTGACTGGCCAGGAGGTTGGACTAGGTGACCACCATGGCTCCTCCCAACCGCCGTTGTACATGTTGACTAAGGAAATCTATACATTGAAGACCCAAGCTTTTCTAAGCTATTTCTAGTTCTATGACCATCCAAATTATTGGAAATTCCATAACCTATTGGAAATAACTGCACCATGAAAAGGTTAAAATGATGTCACATCCATTTGGCAAATGCAAATCTCCATGAACATAGAGACCACCTTTTGAAAAACACTAATCAAGAAAAGCATGACCTTGTTAGATGTCAACTCTGATATTCATAAGCATTTATGTAACGGCACACAGATAACTCAGCTGTTAAACTGAAGAACCATAAGCATACATGCATCTATTAAAGTCCAAATAGCAACCTTCTCCACTGAAATCCAAACACATACATGCATCCACCTCCACTGAAGTCTGATGCAAACACATCTGCCTCCTATGAGGTGGTAAACAGACCGAATACGAAATGCAGTATTGAGTCTGAACACGTTCAGTGCAATCACTTGTCTACAACCCCTCCCACATCAAAGAGGTACTGTCAAACTGGCAAATCAACATACACATAGAATACAGGTTAACAAATATATACATTAACTATTAAACAGTGAAAGTCTTGGGATGTTGCTGTTTCCAACACAAATGAAGCCATTATCTTCCTCTTCCCAAAGCTGAAACCCAGGGTGAATCTACATAGTAGAATTAATGTATTGGCACCACTTCAACTGCTGTAGCTCAATGCTATGGAGTTACTGAAGTTTTATGAGTCCCCAGCACTATTTGGTTGAGAAAGCTAAAGTGCTTGTAAAGCTACAGCTCACATGACTCCATGGCACTGAGCTATGACAATTAAAGTGATATCAAACTGAATTAATTATATAGTGTAAGTGAACTCCCCACTCATATTGATAACCTAGAATGTACAAATCCCATTGCAGATTGGTCTAAAATGGCTGCACATAAGGAGATAAATGTACATCAGCACATTGTTTATATGCTATGATTTGCCATGGCATCTTCTATACTTAGCAATCTGTCTGCTTAGGAGAATGCTCAACTCCAACACACAAAACAAGAGCATTTCTCTATCATTCGGGTTGTAGAAATTGCATATCTTATAGTCAAGTGCCCCAATGTTCACTATTTTGGATACAGAAACTGGCAAGTTAAAAGATCTGCTTGTGCCCCCTTGTGGCACACAGAGAAGGAAGTTCAATCCGATCTTTTTTTCTTTTTCTTTGTTTTTTTGCTACATTGATCCTCTGAACTGATATCAGCTTTTTTAAATGAAAATAATAAAAGAATGAACCCTCTACTGGGCAACCCAAATGCAGAAGCTTCACTGGCTTCTTCATCAGGCAGTCGGAGCAGACAATTCTGGACTAGATGAACCAAGGACGCAATAGATGTTAGCTTCCTAAATTCTCATGCAATCCCTCTGCAACTAGTGGGTTCTTGTGACTCCTTCTAACACTATAATTCTATTGTTTTATTATTCTCTTAGAATTCCCCAGCAACAGGGCCACTGGCCTTATTGGCTAGAGGATTCTGGGAGCTGTCATCCAAAACCTTAACTTTTCCAAGTTCTGTTTGTAGTCTATTCTTCCTGCTCTTTGGAGACCAGATGAGCTCAAAAGAAGAAACACTGCTAGGACAAATGGCATGCAACAGCTATCATTGGAAACTGCAGGCAAGTTTTCTCTACCTACCCTCTTTTTAAGTGAGCCACGTAGGCACTCTGCAGAGCAGCTTCCAGGAAATAAGGCAATTCAAAGTCCAAAGGAGGCCCGTGGCCACCTTTCACGCCTCTTGCATGCGTGTTTCCGAAACTCTGGTAGTGGTAGGAGAGAAAGAAAAATGGGAAACCATTGTTAGAGTGGTAGGAGAGAAAGAAAAATGGGAAACCATTGTTAGAGATGGAAAATTGTCACTGCTTTTCTCCCAAAAGAAAAGAGAAAACAACAAGACAAGAAAAACCAAAGGTTATGCCAAATTATCTTCGTTATGACTTCCCTTGATTTTTTTGGTCATGTTAGTAATACTGTCAGAGGGGTGGCCAAGGGAAAAAGTCTACATTCAGCTAGAAATGTCTCCCTTCTTACATTAATATTCAGGACAACAGAACTTGGGAGCCAATTAAATGAATGAAGGATGCACCTACACTGTATAATTAATGCAGTTTGACACCACTTTAACTGCACTGGCTTTTTTTCCATGTCAGGAGTGACTTGAGAAATTGCAAGTTGCTTCTGGTGTGAGAGAATTGGCCGTCTGCAAGGACATTGCCCAGGGGATGTTTTGTTTTTTTTACCATCCTTGTAGGAGACTTTTCTCATGTCCCCATATGGGGAGTTGGAGCTGACAGAGGGAGCTCAACCCACTCTCCTCATATTCGGACCGCTGACTTATGGGTCAGCAGTCCTGCTAGCACAAGGGTTTAACCCATTGCGCCACCGGGGGCTCCTAGTGCTGCACTGGCTCAATGCTTTGGAATCGTAAGAGTTGTATTTCTACAATGCTTTACTCTTCTCTGCCAAATGGTGCTGGTGCCTCAATAAACTATGAATCCCAGGATTCTACAGTATTGAGAATTGGCATTTAAACTGGTGTCAAACTGCATTCATTCTGCAGTGTAGAGCAAGTGACAGATTCTGAGATGCACTTTGTGTGTGTCAATATCATTCCTTTTTGGTTGTGTGTGGAAATGGCAAAATTTCAAAACCTCAATAAACCGCTATACAGATTTGTCTTGTAGATTTTAATATTCACAGATTTGATTGAAAAGTTCTCTGTAGCGATCTCTACATCTTCTAGTGCTTCTCTATGATTACCTTCTGCTGGAAATTAATCACAGAGTTGTGCTATTCTTAAGAGCATGGCATGGGGTTTTTTTCTTTTCTTTTTTCCTTTCTTGTGATGGCACACTTTCAATGACAGAAGTACCGTATATTTCGGCATATAAGACGACTGGGCATATAAGACGACCCCCAACTTTTCCAGTTAAAATATAGAATTAAGATGACTCCCATGCATAAGACTACACCCGCATATAAGACGACCCCTGACTTTTGAGAAGATTTTCTTGGGTTAAAAAGTAGTCTTATACGCCAGAATATACTGTAAATTAGAGTCCAAAAAAGTACTTCAGAGTTGCACATGACTTATGAGCCACATGTTGTCGACATGCATTTTAAATACAAAATGCAGTACTCTCAGTTTACTAATGTGGTTTCCGGTTGCTTGAGAGTTACTATTAAAAATAAGCATGACTAATACTATAACAAATACACTCTGTGTTGACTTGATGTTAATATTAAAAGACAGTAATTAAAAGCAAATAAAGATAAATAAAGACAAACATAACTCAATGCAACACAGCCTTATGTTATTATGAAAACAGCTTGCCATATTCCATTTTAGTTTCAGTTTCGGCCTATATCTTGAGTTCCAGTTACCTGAGAGTCTACCGTATTATTATTAAATACAAAATAAAATGTAACTAAGTAAAGCAGCACAAAATACTGTAACAAAAGAAGGCTTGGCGAACCCCAAAATTCAATGGAAATACTTTGAAAATGAGTTAACAAAAAAGGCCAAACTAAACAGAAAATAATACCTACATCCAAAGTAGCACTGTGGATGCAAGGATTTGCAGGAGTCTTGCAGGTTTTCTCTCTCTTGACCCTAAGAGTGCTAAGAGGCATTTTAAGTAGGCTTGTATTTACCTTCTCAAGTTCTTGGAGGAACACTTGAGCGATCACACATGCTTTTTCAAAGCAAGCCATGACTTCTTCCTCTCTTTCCGACAGCCGGGCTCGGGAAGCAATAGAATTGGGCGAGCGTTCCAATGCCAAGCCTGCAAAGAGAGCCAAGAAAACTCTTCTAAAGTGCCAAGGGCGTCTTTGAGAGAGGCTGACTTAACACACCACATTCTGACACCTGCCCTTCATTTCCTCCCTGTTGGGCATGTATCCATACCTTATACCCTGCAAAGTTTTTGCTAATCTGTTCCCATTGGACTCATTGGGTCAGACTCATGCTAGTGCCTTCCTATTCCTCCAGATTCCTGAAACTATGTGTAAATCTGTAGAATGAATGCAGCTTGACACCGCTTGCACTGCCGTGGCTCAATGCTATAGAATCCTGGAATGTGTAGTTTGTTGGAAATAGCTACCTTCTCAAGCCTCCACTAGTTCTTTGTTATGTATGTAATTGTTAAATGTATTGTATGTGCATGTGGCTTGTATGTGCATGTGCAAGCCTTTGGTCATGCTGACAACTAATTTAAGGATCTGACGATAGACAAGGACAAATGGAATGGAATGGATATATGGACTCTGAACCCTGAGCATGAGATTGTTTTATTATTTTATTATGTATTGATGTTTTAATTTAACTGTTGAATTGTTTTGTATTTTGTACTGCTTGTCAATGGATTTGGGCATCTAATTGTGCCTCCTCTGTAAGCCGCCCTGAGTCCCCCCACCCCCCCGGGGTGAGAAGGGCGGGGTATAAGTAAGTGAAATAAAATAAATAAATAAATAAATGTGTTGCTATGCAATTTTACCTTAACTCTTTGTTGTGGGAGAGGCTACAGACCATGTGATCAGGTCTGGGCTTGTTCAGGGCTCAGACTCCATTTTAGAAGTAGTATGCCTTTAGAAGACTATAGGAAGAGATGTTTATTTTGGACTTCAGCAGGAACAGTATGCTTAGAGACTAGACAGGGACTCCATTAGACTCTCAGAACAAAGAGATGCTTTGGACTATGGACTATTTACTCTAAGAAAGATGCCCTGTGTTACCTACACAGAGAAACTACTTCAAATCCTATTTGTAACTGGACTGATAAGCAAAGTACCTGTATAATGAATACATGAAGTTTGTGAGTAAACCAACTATGTTATTTTTAAATAAGACTGCTTATTTTTGTCTCTTGAGAGCATGATTTAAAGGCAAATATATTTAAAGAGAGAGTAGGTGCTTTTTGGGCAACTTCAAAGAACACTTCTGAAACTCTGCTGTATATGTGTGTGTGTGTGTGTTTGTACATTACATACCTTTCTTCCTAGCGGTTCAAAGACATACTTAGGTACATCAGATTAACAGCTGAGAAACCCACTTGCCTTGCATGAATGCTGGTGAATGGCATTTTCCCAAAAATTTAGGACTCTAACAGGTCATGCTTTTTACCAAGAGGTTATAGCACAATTTTTCAAAAGGTTGTGACTTCTAAAAAGGTAATCCCTTTCAAAAGTCATAAAATTTCCAAATATTCTGGAGATTTCCATTTTCCAAAATAATTTAGTGAGGCACTAGCACTGTTTGGAAGAGAAGGCCAAAGACCTTGTAAAACTACAACTCTCATGCATTGAGCCATGGCAGTTAAAGTGGAGTCAACTGCATTGATTATATAGTGGAGATGCACCCATAGACCTCTGGCCACTTCCAACTACATTTTTTCTTCTTTTTTTCTTTTTTCAGTCTTAATAACCTGCAGAAGATCCTAAGTGACAAAATGCCACCCGCTCCCAACCCACTATGGCTGCTCACTCCTGGCAATACACTAGAAGGTATTTCTGACTCTCAACAGTATACCCAACAGTATGAGCTGATCAAGGAGTCACTTCTCCGCAGTCTAGGGGTTCTCCTGGACTCAACGCTGATGCTTGAAGCTCAGGTGTCGGCAGTGACTGGGAGGGCCTTTGCACAATTAAAACTTGTGCACGAGTTCCAACAGTACCTTGAAAAGCCTGATTTGGCCACAGTGGTCCACATCTAGAATGGGCCTATCTTCAAGACCGCATCTCCTATTATGAACCAGCATGGGCCCTAAGATCTGCTGGGGAGGCCTTCCTCTCAATCCCCTCTGTCTCAAGTGCAGTTGGTGGAGTGGAGAGAGAGGGCCATCTTGGTGGTGTCTCCCTGGGTTTGGAATGCCCTCCCTAAAGAGATTAGGGCGACCCCCTACTCTCAAAGTTTTTCAGAAACACCTGAAAACATGGCTTTTAAAGCAAATCTTTGACCATGTTTAGGGATTATGATTACTATATTTGAGGACTTAGTGCACTTTATGAGAACTGATATTGTACATAGCCGCTATTTCAAAGCTTAGCAATTTTCAATTTTTTTTTTAATTGATAGGGGCTTTATTGCTGTTTTATGTGTGATTGGGTCAATTTTATTGTTATTGATTTTATCTTTTTGTATTTTGTATTGTTGAAGGCTTTCATGGCCAAAATCACTGGGTTGTTGTAGGTTTTTCGGGCAGTATGGCCATATTCTAGAATGCTTTTTGTATTTTGTTGTATTTGTATTTTGTTGCACTATTGAGTGCTTTCCTGAGTCCCTTTGTGGAGATGGTGACGGAATATAAATACAGTTTATTATTATTATTATTATTATTATTATTATTATTATTATTATTTATTGTATGCTGTTTTGTAGTTGTCAACATTTACTTTCAGCCCTATTCCTATCTCACAATTTTGAATTGGTATCATCTGACAGATTCTAGAATGCTAATTTTTTCAATTTTTTACACTGTAAGCCTGAAATCCCTCTGTAAAGTAATGTATATCTAGTGGCATTGCAGTAGGAAAGCTATTTTATTGCATTTTTAGAATTGCACTATACAGATACATACACTTTAATATTTCAGAAATGAAAACTGGGACATATATGGCCAAGCAATATCAGTGGGTGGTAAAGATGACAGAAGTTACTAATGAGGGAGGACACACAAACTAGGAGACATTGCAGCAATTTGCTTTTGCTTGCATCTACTGGGAAAGCAAGACTTTGACCCATCTTCTACTCTGGAGACCCCCCCCCCCCCCCCGTGGTGTAATGGGTTAAACCCTTGTGCTGGCAGGACTGCTGACCAAAATGTCGGCAGTTTGAATCCAGGAAGCAGGGTGAGCACGGTCTGTCAGCTCCAGCTTCTTGTGCGAGGACATCAGGGAAACCTCCCACAGGATGAGAACACATCCAGGCGTCCCCTGGGCAACATCCTTGCAGATGGCCAATTTTCTCACACCAGAAGCTACTTGCAAATTCTCAAGTTGGTCCTGACATGGAAAAAAAACCTTTCTTCTCTTTCCCTGGCTGAGTTACCTTGTGTACAAACTATTTTGTACTATGGAGCCAATTTGAAATAACTGAAGGAATTTTTATTTTATTTATATATCACATTTCTCTTAGGATTGGAGATAAAGCAGCTCATAAGAAGTTTGAAAGGCAGCCCAAGGAAACAAGACAAATTAGGAGAGTGGAAGGAGGAGAAAGAAATAGGAACATATTAAAAGCTGCAGAAAAAGTGGGAAAACAGAGGATTAATTGGGACTGTCTCTGCTAAATTGGGTCAGATGGAGGATATGCAGACATTTGGCACCAGTAGTAGAATGAAACCAGGACTCACTGGGTCAAACACTCAAGACTTTTTGATTAAGAAGAACGATAATATCATGTGTTGCCTCGATCCCCAGAGTCCCTTATTCCTTCTGAGTTTGGCTGCAATCCTCATAAAATTGGAGAAGAAATTTTATGAGGATTGCATGATGCGCTGTTATGAGTTATTATTCTGGTTGCAATCCAAAGCATTTTAAAGTGGTTTTCTAAAAGACTTTATTCTGGCAGAACTGCAAACTACTAGAAATTGTGGCTCGACATAACCACCTGCAATTTTGGATTCTCCATGGCAGTGTTACTATAGATATTTTCCCAGTGAGAGCTCGCTTTTTAATATTGAAGACTACCATTTTTTGGCACATCTTTCATGCTTTCTTTTATAAGATGGGGGAAAATGTTGCTCACAAGTCTAAAAAGACAAGTTTGAAAGTATATGAACAATGCTGCTTATATAAAATCTCTTGAGGCTGGACAAGGCAGCCAAGCAGGTGGTCCAGGCGAAAGATTGGAAGAAAGGGGAAACTTGTCCTTTTCCACTATCTGTGTTACAGAGAAATATATGCAAAACCAAAAAAAAAAAAGGATTATGAGCTGCTTCAGGCAGATACCTTTCTTTGGCAAAATAAATGTTGCATAGTTATCTATTCAGTCAGCCCTCTACCTTTGCAAAAACTGATCATTCATGTATTAGGTTACTATAGTCTCTCAAGGAATCACCCTCTAGTATGACTTTATTGACAACTTTCAATGGAAGTTGTGCTAGATGATCTAGAGACTTTATCTCAGTGTTTCTCAGCCTTCATAGTGCCGCAACCCCTTAATATGGTTCCTCATGTTGTGGTGACTCCCAACCATAACAATATTTTCGTTGCTACTTCATAACTGTCATTTTGCTACTGTTATGAAGTGTAATGTGTCTGATATGCAGGTTGTATTTTCATTCACTGGATCAAATTTGGCACAAATCTGAATACTGGTGGGGCACAGAGATTGATTTTGTCATTTGGGAGTTGGAGTTGCTGGGATTTATAGTTCACCTACAATCAAAGAGCATTCTGAACTCCACCAACAATGGAATTGAACCAAACTTGGCACACAGAACTTCCATGACCAACAGAAAATACTGGAAGAGTTTGGTGGGCACTATCATTGAGTTTTGGAATTATAGTTCACCTAAATCCAGATAGCATTGTGGACTCAAACAATGATGGATCTGGACCAAACTTGACACAAATATTCAATATGCCCAGATGTGAACACCGGTGGGATTTGGGGAAAATAGACCTTGACATTTTGGAGTTGTAGTTGCTGGGATTTATAGTTCACCTACAATCCAAGAGCATTCTGAACCCCAGCAACATCAGAATTGGGCTAAACTTCCCACGTAGAACCCCCATGCCTTGAAGGGACTTGCTGGTATGAGACTGGCAGAACTGCAAACCTCAC